CCGATTCCTTTATTTGTACCAATAAAACCAGACACAGACTTTAATAGAGCAGAAAATTTAAAAAAAGACAGAAGAGGAAAAAAAGAAAAAATTTGATTTTGCAGCTAATTTACTTCCTTTGCTGTAATCTCCCTTATAGCAGTTATTGGCATACTGAGTTCTAATTGCGCGCATGATCGAATGTGTGCCTGTGCTTTGCGCCGTGATGTATCCTTTGCTGAATCGCTGCCAGAAATATCAGAGGATCGTGTATCGTCACTAAAAAAATTGGAATATTGAAAAAAAAACAAAATTTGTACAATGCTGTATACGAACTCTTAACTCCTGCAGCTTCAGTGAACGCTTAATTCAAACGGGATATCAATGTCGGGATCACTAGCAACTGACCATCAGGCGGTGCAGCATTAGTCAAAGCAAATGGTAAAGTTGCTAGCTGCGTGCTATACAATAACGCCATAGATTTTAGCTAATCAGAGTGTCGAAGTAGACAACTTCACTAGACAGCTCGTATCAAAATGCATTTGAAAACCCAGAAGTTGCTTTAGCGGGCTGGAATTCTTTTAGCATTTTCAGCTGGTATCGCGAATACCACCTGAGTCAACAAGAACCTCTCTTTATGTCCTCTCCGTGAAAGGCGGAGATATTTGAAAAGTAGTGTGAATGACGAATGCAAACAATCACATACTGGCAAGGCTGTCAATTACCCCTTCTTTTATATTTGCTTACAAGCAAGCTGATGACGAGTTTAACTCTTAGACATATGCCAGCACCAATTCACTACCGAAACGAATTAACAAATCGTAGAGGGATTAGTTTTTTCATCGACGCAGTTCAGTCCTCGACCTATGGTACGGCAACATTGCTACTTCTCGCTGCGTCATGCCCGCCTGCCTAAGTACTGTCATTTTTCTTAAATATTCATATGGAACTAGACAGGTAGGTGTGCTTGTCATTCTGCACAGCTTTTTTTTGTGACACCATTGTAGGAGAATGAGAAAAGAAAGGAGCCTCTTTTTTACCTGAGTAGAAGGCAAAATCACCTGTGTGGAAGGAAGGAAAAATGAGGGAATCTGGCTGCAAAGTAACCTTCTCTCGCTCCCCTCCCCCCTCCCCCCTCTTCCCCCTCCGCCGCTCCTCGCCTGCCTCAACCCTGGTACCTCAAGAAGTAACGGTGATAACGAAGTATTATAAAACTGCAAATATTTCGAAGCAAACCTATTGTTTTGCGTATTTTTGCCACGAGACCCTTTTCCGGGTACCTCAACCGCCTTGAAAGCATTCGCAAGTGTTGCTGCATTGTTTGTCATTGTCTCGTACTGATGCACGTTCGTCTTGCGGTCTCTCACTGCTGCGCCGCCACCGATGATCTCGGATAGCATATATCTGCGGCTGCTAAGTATGCGACTGTTCGTGTCGCTCTTCGCCGACAAGCTTGCGCCGCTCAGTCTCGCGGTAGATATACGCCCTCTCGGTGTGCTGCTGTTTGCGCGAGCTCTCATACGCTGCTCACGCGGCGTTGATCTCGTCTCCGATTTGAGCTGGTCAGACTGAACATGATACTGCTGACCACTGGTCAGTGTTGGCTCACGATGGAATACGGTATGAGGAGTGCGGGAAGTACAGAATTGACTTGCTCGCGCCGCTGCTTCCGCCGAGACTGCTGAACAATCCGAACTTCCCGCATTTCTTTTCAGCTGCTCGAACTGCGCACGCTGAGTGTTCGATGACCGCTGTTGTGTGTACACAGGACTAGTACGGTCCACATGGGCTGGACGGTTAGCTTTCCCTCGCGTCGGCTTCTCGGTTGGTACTTTTTTCTTGTCCGCGGCCTTATCCGCTTGTGAGTCTCCGGTACTGCTCAGCGTCACAGTACATGTCGAGATATGTACGGTATTCACTGAAATCATGCAAATACCATATACGTACGGACAGATTTTTTATCTGGTCACTTCTCTATTAGTTTCACCATTCATTAGTACTTATCACTAGCTGATCTAGCAGGGTAAGATAACCTCTGCAGAATCGGCAAAATGAAGTAAAATTTGACTTTAAACCATGTTAGCAATCCTACTACAAACATTTTAAATGCTCTTCACTCCCAATACCCGTGTGACTCATCTTTGCAGCTGACTTGTACTTAATGACATCTTTCCATTGATACTAAATTGGACTTAATTACTTCAGTAACATCTATTTTATTGATATTAAATTTGGTTGATAATAAATCTGATTTCATTTTAATGGGGCTGAAGTAAATTTAATTCCCTTACTTTTCAAAGCTCCTAGTCAGTAAGGTAATTCTGAATAGTCCAGCAGTAAAAGTTTTCGAGATTGGGCGGGAATTTGGGTCTACTAACTTTCAGTCAAAATTTACTTTCTTATTAGCATCATAAACCTATACGCCTTCTCGCCCTCTCCCCTCCCCCCGTTGCCAGCTTGCCCAGCAATTTCTACTTTTGCCTCCAACTCCTACCTCCAAACAAGACCTTAGCTTTTTCCCAATCAACGACCCAATCCCCTTTCATCTGTAGGACCCTTCATGACCGAAGCTAGCATCTCCGGTTCTTCCCTTCGTTACAGCTCAACTCTAAGCCTATTGACTGGGAGGGCATACTTAAACCACTGTAACTTGCTCTCAAACCCTGGCCTGGCAAATTTTTAGTAATTTTCTT